ATGAAATTCATTTCCATATTCTTGTTCAATTTCATCACCACCAGTATAAATATGTTTTTCTAAAAATGGATAATCAATATAAAAACCAGTAGAATAAATAATTACATCGATATTTTCTAAAATAGTTCCATCAACAAATTCAATTTGATTATTTTCAGATTTAAGTTCTTTAATGTTTGGTTTTACAATAACTGTGCCAGCTGCGAGACACTGACAAATATCAGAATTTATAGTAGGAAATGTAGCAATTAAAGGATCAGTAGGTATTAAATGAGAGGGAAATGGAAAAGTTTTAATAATATGGTTTTCAATAACTTTTCCTCTATCAGAAGATGAAATATATTTTGCAGAGAAACGAGATGTACGATGATCACGTGCTTTACCATTTACAAAGCGTGGTATTATCCATGGAAGTTTTTCTGTAGAAAAAAAAGAGAGATTATAATTATAATGATCTAAAAATAAATCAAAATGTAAATTTTTACCTCTACGAATGCTTAAATAGACTTGCGATGCAGAATGTGTTAATTCAACCGCGATGTCCATTGCACTAAATTAAATTAGTGAATAAGGGTTTTATACGAATCTTATAATTATACAATTTAAGTCATATCCATACCTATTACCACAACCAACAATCAAAACGCGTTTATTTTCGAAATCTATAGCTCTAAATATATATAATTAGTAATAATATAAACATACCAGATTTTTAAAAATCATTATACACGTTCTTTTTTTAAATGACGTATGCGATCTTTAAATGACATGATCTCTATATAAGGTCACTTATAAAAAAAAGGATGCGTATATAGTAACTTTTGAACATCCGTTACAGTATACATAAATAATAAACACTGTAAACTCACCGTTTATATTTATAAGAATGTAATTGTTCGCCTTTAAATAAATTCATTCCTTTAAATTCGGGCCATTTAGGTTTGCGATGATGACCAGAGCAAACCATTACAAAATCAAAAATCTCTTCTTTTTCGTTATTTTCACTTTGGATTATATATTTAACTTTCCATCGTTTATCAGGAAGAATTGATACTTTTAACACGGTAGTATTAAATTTAATGTGAGGTAAAAGATTAAAATGTTCAGCGTACATATCGATGTATCTATTATTCAACAAAAATTAAAAAAAAAGTGAGTAATTATCGTAATTATCTAATAAGAAAATAAATTTACAGAAAAAAGATTTACTTTTCTACTAGAAAATGATTCATATAAGTCGGCCAATCTGTTGGAATTGGAAAATCAGAAAACGTCGTCTATTAAAGAGATCCAGATAGATAGATTACTTATATGAATTCAATTTTTTTTTTCAACAAAAGAATTAAAATCAATACAAACCATTTCTTTAGATGTATTAGTTAAAAGACCTTTATAAATTGAAGAATAAGGTTCATTATTTTTTTCACAAACATCTTCATATCTCCATATTCCGCCAGTAAAAGAATTTTGTTCAAAACAAATTGGAATTAAACCATCGTCTAGACATTGTTTTATTGCTGTTAAACCCGAGATCCCTAAAATAAAATTTTATTAAATCATTTATTTTTCGAAAATATTTAAAGTTTTTTTTTCAATGTTCAAAATGTGCTTTCTAAAATTTTGTGAATATTACCTACTCCTATAATTGCAACATGTTTAGCCATACGTATTTTTTTATTTTGATGTACTTTTTTTTTTATAACCCAGAAATTTATATCCATACGGCGCAATCTTAATCCGTATGGGGAATTAATTAGCCAATAAACTAATCTTTTACAGGAAGATCCACGATTGAATCTATGCGTTACGACTGGGTTATGCAGCAAACGATAGGCGTTATATATTTTAGTGATTTATTACGTATTCGGTATGATTTTCAGGACTAAAAAGTTCATTTCATTAGGTACTGTACTGAACCATGAAATCGGCACATCAACACGCAGCTGAACCAAAATTAAGCTTCCGACACAAGTAGTACAGTAATTTATATAATTCCATTTTTTAAAGTTTAATAGCGATAGAATTCGTTGGTATTGTATGAAGAATTGAATAATATTTTTCGAGCATATTTTTTTTATAATAATTATGAGAGTGCGTTAATATATAGATCAATTTAATTTACGAAAATTTAATAATATTTACATAATCGCTTAAAATTAGTAATATGTGTTAATGAATCATTCAGCTAGCATTAATAAGATATAATTAAAGCTATTAAAACCTCACCGTCATTCAATGAATAAAAATTAACACGCCTTAATGATCAAGTTATAACATCTAAAATACTTTGAGTATATCACTCGAAATTTTATTCACGTGCATAAAGCATGAAATAATCAACTATATAGTTATAATAATACTATTATTATAAACCAATTAAGAGATTCTTGAAAGTAGAACGCTCTACAGTAAGTAATAACTAAAATTCCTCGAAGTTAATCGAAGAAAAGTTAATTATTTTACCACACTACAGTTATTAGTGTGGTATTCACGATCTTCTTCAACCTATTCTGATATTTAATGCTAAATTTATTGTTACGAAGATTCAAAGAGTTCAGAGAAGTATTTTTATCGAGAGCCTCTATCAATGCTTTTCCACCTTCAAATTCCAGCTGATTAGAAGAAAGATCTAAAGAAGTTAAAGTATTATTTATATGAAATGCCTCTGCTAACACTTTTCCTCCTTCGTCATCAATCTCATTTCTACTAAGATTTAAACAAGTTAAAGTGACATTTTTACAAAGAGCAATAGCTAATGCCTTAACGCCTTCGAAACCAAACTTATTACCACAAGCATCCAAGAAAGTCAGAGTAGTGTTTATACAGAGAGCTTCTGCTAATGCTTTTCCGCCTTTAAAATTCAGCTCGTTAAAAGAAAGATTTAAAGAAGTTAAGGTAGTATTTTTGTAAAGAGCTTTTGATAGTGCTTCTATTCCTCCAGAACCAATCTTATTACTACCAATATTCAAAGAAATCAAATTGTTCATACATAGAGCCCTTGCCAACGATTCAGTTCCCTCAGAACCAAGTCGATTATTAGAAATATCCAAAGAAGTTAAAGTTGGATTCTTATGAAACGCATCCACTATTGCCACCCATTTGACAAAATCAAGTTGATTATAAGAAAGATCTAAAGAATCCAGAGTGGTACATTTATGAAGAATTTCCACTAATAAATCTATTGCCACCGAATCAAATTTATAAACATAAAAATCTATAGAAGTGATAGTAGAATTTCTATAAAGATTTTTAAATATTATCTTAGTACAAATAGCTCTATTAAAAGATAAATGTTTAAGTTTCATACTTTTTCTTAAAAACATTCCAATTAAAGAACATTTAACGGCATTCACAAGTTCATTTTCATCTCTTCTATAATAATAATCATAAATAATATTTGATTCACAAGATTTATCAAATTTACAACCTTCATATCTAAGCCAATTTTTAATTCCATTTTTTAAACGAAAACCAACAGTTCTAGTATAACTTGTATAATCAAATAATGGTTTTGGATAATTTGGAAGAATAATATTAAAAGGGATTAATAAATTTTTTTCTTCAAAATTTAGTGATAAAAGATAAATTCTTATAAGTCTTATATCGTCGATATAATTTGTTGGTTCACTCCATAATATTGGTATAATAATTCTACACCATTGACGGTTTACGAGAAGGCATGAAAATAAGCTACTATAATTGGTTCGAAGGTTATTAATTATCATGTAAAAACATTCGTGTGGTAATGCTATCATTTTTTCTTTTTTTTTAAAAATAAGATGAATTAAAAAAAAAATTTTTTTTTTAGAATCGGTAAACAATAAAAACCCGGCTTTTTTTTTAACCCAGAATATATAGCCGAAATGAAATGTGGTGAAACGTTGTGCATTTGCTAAATTTGGAAATGCGCTAAGGCAAATTTTTATGAGTTGATTAATCGGCAGTTAAATTAAAAATACTATACGTACAAGCCTGTCTTAGTATTGTACTATCTTTGTATTGTACAAATAAATATTAGCTTGGATGGCGTCAGTGTGAGATAAATCTAGCATACATTTCACACATAATGTGACTCCGCGTGAGATGTAAGGTTAATATCGAACGAAATTTTAAATTTGGTAAGATTCCAGATTTTTGTGACTGTTACGTACCTTGATGTTAGTAGTATTAAAAATTTTGGTCAAAAGATTTTGCTGTTAAACTAGTCCAAGTTTTTTCTATTAAAATAGGCTTAAAAAAAAGGGTTGTTAACACCAAAAATTTTCAAGGAAAACTTTTTGATAGTGCGCAGAAAGCAGTTTCATAGGTATAATTTTGAGTTAATTGATATATATATTTTTGAATTGGTTTGATTTCTTTTGAGTTCCTTTGATCTTGAAGTTCAATTGACCAGCGAAACCTTTTGGGGTGATAGCGGGTGGTAGCACTAGGGATATCGTTAAAATGGTTTCATTTTAAATTATAATAATGTGTATTTTTAATCAAGATAATTAAAATAAGTAATTCCTGTTCATGAACGAATCTTAATTTTATTCGTGTTAATTTTGTAATTGGTTAATATTTTAAGAAAAACATTTAAAAGCTACTCCTGAATATTTGTCATTGTTTAATTTATTTCCGATAATAAATTTAAAACTGGTTATTATCGATTGGTAACTTTTTTCATAAATGTAATTCATATCTTGTCATCCCTACAGCTTCGATCATTTGTTAAGATAAAAATATTATTTATTTGCATATGTATATCGATATAGAAGTTTGTACGCTAATTTACGTACGTACCTACCTACCTTTTTGCGTATTCATATAAATAGTTGCTGCCAAGAGAAAACTTGTCAATACTTTCAATTTTAAATTCTCACCATACTAGATTCTGAAAAATTGTGGTACAGCATTACGTAATTAAATAACTATACGATCAGTGTTTTTGTTGTCTTGGTACACAAATACGATTACGTACATACGTACGTTGAGAAAGGTAAAATTAATCCGGGATTAGATAAATTCGGGTATTTTGGGTCTTAGACTACTCTGACTAATCTAACTAACTACTAAACCAACTAATTTAACCAACTATACTACTTCCAAGTATCGATAAGATCGAAAGTCCAAGGTGGCAGGCTTCGTAAAGAGGCGTGGAGAAACTTGGTCCGAGTTATTAGGGTCAAATAGAGCTCTATACGATGTCACGAAGCTCTATTAACAGAATCACGGCATTAGACTACTAGTTCTATTCGAATTACTTATTCAAACATTGAACTCTAATCGAGTTCTACCATTCAACTCTCTGTCTGACTGACTGAGTGACTGAGTTGTTCTTTATTTCAAATTTCCGCTTTTATACTTTTTATATTACTGCGTCTTCAGGTAGTCTGACATATGAAGCTACCTTAAAATGACATAATTTGGTACCAAAGGCAAGGTATGGTACTGGGAGGTACCAAGTTTACAGTCAAGAAGACGTAATGTACTAATAATATGGTACGAAATGAGCTAATAGTACCTAAATGTCGTAATGTCTA